ATTCCTTGCACTTCATGGCTTGATTTGTGCTCTAACATGCACTGTTAACTGTGGGACCTTATATAGACAGGTGTGTGCCTTTCCAAATCATGTTCAATCAACTGCATTTAACACAGGTGAATTTCAATCAAGTTGTAGAAACATCTCAAGGATGATCAGTGGAAACAGGATGCACCTGAGCTCAATTTTGAGTGTCAAGGCAAAGGCTCTGAATACTAATGCACATGTGATTTTTTCAATTTTTATTTTAATACATTTGCAAAGATTTCAAACATAATTCTTTCACGTTGACATCATGGGGGTTCTATAGTATGCATGCAATTTTCTAAGAAAAGTTCTGCCAGCAATTTCCTGGCCTGTTGATGACTCATATTACCAACTCAGTTCTGAGAACATACTCTGACTCAAACATCAGAATTTCACAATTGCACAAAACTGCATTTCTCTGGGCAAGTTTCAACAGTGCAATGCCAGTTTCTGAAGAACAAATCATATAAACATACTATTCTCTTGAAATGCACACTGCGTGCCGAATTATTATGCAAGTGACAGGATTTCATTGAAATAAATATTCAGGTTATAGTTTTTCAAAGAAAGCGCTTTATTTCTAAAATCTTTGTAGATAACTATCGCTCTCAGATGGGTTTCTTAATTATATGCCGGGAGATAAAAGACGTTGTTTCACATTTCTTAAGCAATTACACTTATCATGCAAATATGGGGAGGAAGAAAGTATTTTCCTAAGAAAAGCATGAGAAAATGTCTTGCAAAAGGCATGAAAATAACTGATACTTGGCAAAAACTCAACAGAGATCATCAAACTGTTGAAAAATTTGTGAATGAGCACAGGATAATTTGTCCGATACACTGTAAAAAATGAATCATGGGTCTTGTAATTTTCATAAAAAAAACTAAGGTGATAAATAAAAATATTATGTTTTTTTTTTAAAGAAAACTTAAGCAGTTTTGGGGCTTGAATTGAGCAACCGATTAAGTAAAAAAAAATTAAGGAAATAAGGCTACCTATTTATTTTAAAGGGGTCATATGATGTTGCTAAAAAGAACATGATTTTGTGTATTTGGTGTAATGACATGTGTTTATGCGGTTTAAGGTAAAAAAAACCCCACATTATTTTCCACATACTGTACATTATTGTTTCTCCTCTATGCCCCGCCTTTCTGAAACGCGTCGATTTTTACAAAGCTCATCGTTCTGAAAAGCGAGGTGTGCTCTGATTGGCCAGCTATCCAGTGCGTTGTGATTGGCTGAATGCCTCAAGCGTGTGACGGAAATGTTACGCCCCTTACCATACTGTGATTCCCTGTCCGGCCGGAGTGACGAGACAAAAACATTAAAGCCCATTACAAATGAGGAATTTGTTGCATCCAGTGGGGACATAATTACTGATTATAATGACTTATAGGCCTACTGTCTTTTTACAACGTTGCGTAGTCTAACGTTACTCTCCCAGGATCAGTAAACAGTCCTCCATAAAATGTGCTGCACACATCTGAATATTTGGGTTGAACTGTTCTGGAACAGTGTTATAAATACAACTTAACCACTGATTTCTAGTTGTGTCCTCTTTTGGAAGGCCAAACAAAGTAGTTTCGCTTTCACAAAGAAACACAGCGTCACACACAGCGGGCTAGAGTGAGCAGAGGCCGGCTTGAGTGAGCGGCAGCAGGAGGGCTTGCGGCAACCACATGTGACGACCCCGGGCTGGACTGGGATATCGTCCTCTTTTGGAAGGCCAAACAAAGTAGCTTCACTTTCACAATGAAGCACACAGTGCCTTCACAACATGGCGGCGGTGGCGGCAGCAACAATACTACAGCGAGAATAAAAGTTACGCCTTCTTTCTTTGTGTGAACATTTGGGCGGCGTTATGCAAATCTTCCCACATAGTGAGGTAGACATGTGGGGGCGTGTTAGAATGGGCCATTTTAGGTAGGCGTGGTTGACTCTTAACTTTTATAAAGAATATCTCTTTGGATTTGAGACTTTAGTCTTTGCAACTTTACAGATCTTCTTTATGCACCAAGAGCTTGTAACACTCCAAAGAGAAAGGAAAAATTTAAATCACATCATATGACCCCTTTAAGATAATTTATTTTCAAGGTGATTGTTAGTTCCCAGCATGCTTTGCATATAGCTGGATATGGAGAGTCAATTTAGAAATTAAATGCTATTTTATGTGTTTTTGAGTGAAGGGAAACATCTATTAATGTTTAATGTTCAGTTATGTTTGACATTTGAAAGAGTTTCTGTTACATTGTAGTTTCCATTGCACAGTGCAATCGTTACCATTGTGCAGAAGAGTAGAGCTTATGGTTATGGATACTACTCCTCGAAGGCATGGAGCTTTGTTCAATGAGTAGTAACTTTGCTAGTGTAGTATTACCAGTATATCTCAAGTATTTTTCTGTTTGAGCTGTTTGGCTGTATACAGTCCTTTAAATGTACAAAATAACTCAAAGTCAAATACAAACAGACCTCACTCAAAATTACAGACTTTTTGGAATCAACTCAAAATAAATGAGCACATTTCACTAATTATATTAAATTTATTGTGTCATAGATTAATTTAGGAGATTTCACATGATTCATTCAGGTAGATTCCATTAAAAAAAATCAAGCCTGGAAAAACTACTCAAAAATATTATGTGTAATATTCTTACCATAATTTTTTTAAGTACATAGCTTGTTCCATTTTTTAGTGTAGAGGCTTATTAAGGAAAGTTTCTGTCAGATGTATTAACAGTATTAAAAGGGCAGCTGTAATAAACACAATGCAGGGGTGTCCAAACCCAATATGTATTTTACATAAAATGTGGTTCTACAAAACTTACATTTACTTATGTTTACAAGGCACTGAAACGTACAAGACTGACATATTTACGGCATCTAAACATACAATACTGACATACTGATGACACCTAAAATGTAAATTATGTACGCATGAACAACTTTACAGACTTACAAATGAATCCTTATGAATATTGAAATCGCGGCATTAACATTTTATTATATTGTATTCAGTTGTCATATCAATGGCATTATGTTTTCAATTGCATTATTAAATGAAGCTTACTCGTTTACTTAAAATGAAATGATAACATTTTGTTCTGTTTGATTTCTACTGCCAACTCGTTTCGAAAAATACATACGACTACGTTTTAAACCCTTAAAACAAATAACATTTCTACAATCCTTTAACCATTACTTATCTTGTAATATTTATTTTGTTTGCCATCAGACACAGAGGCATTTTCTCCAACATGCTGAGACTGACAACAGAACCATAAAATCAGAGCCGATCCTAGCATTTTGGGGCCCCTAAGCAGACTTTTAAAAGGGGCTCCCACTATCTACGGTTTCACCTAACCACCACCTCCCATCCTCTAACATGCATATCCTACACTGACACCGTATTGTAGAGTTTTAGAACATTGTCTTATTTCATTATATACTGTAAATATGAATATGAGCCTATATTTCATGTTATATACAACATTTTTAAATTACAAATGTTTGACCATTACTTTCTAAGAAATGTATCAAAATGTAAGATTAATGGCTTAATAAAGCAAAAACACCTGCCAATGGGTTATGAAAATTTGTATTATTTAAATGATTATTATTAAATAATAATAATAATCTCTTTTCTAGACTGCCTTGTTTAAGGGCCTACGGGGGCCGATCGGCTCTGCATAAAATACACCAAAAACACAACATAATTACAAAAGGATCAATTTTATTCGTGCGCTGTAATCCAAATCTTCAGAATCCATATGACTGCGAGGAACAGAACCAAATCCATGCCTTTAATCAGCGATCTTCATCTCCATTCTGAGCAGCAACCGTAAGCAGTAATACCTGCGCTGATGTGCTCGTTACAAATTCAAAAATTGCCACTTCAGGAAGCTTTACGACAGGAAAATTGAACGTTCATTGGCTCTTGCCTGCTTCATTACAGATTGCGACATGCTGTGTGGATCAGGATAATAATGGAGTGGATCAGGATAATAATCTTGATAATATGTTCAGCAATTATTAACTCAAACTCTGCTCTGCACCTCATACAAAACTATTGTATTCCACCAGAGAAGACTGCGACTGCAACGCATCGTCATTGGACCACGTTTGATATTTTTGCAATAAGTTATTGTGATTGCACTTATCTTTCTGCCATGTTTTCTGCCATATTGTAACTAAATGGCCATTTCCTGCATATTTAGGTCTATTACGTTTTGTATCTTTTTATATTCCCTATAAAATGGGTAAGTTTAGGTTTGAGGGTAGGTTAAAGGGTCTAAAAATCTAAATCGCTTATCAATAAAATTATAAAAATACATGAATACAAATATCTTTATGATATAAAGGATTCGTAAACATAATTTTTTTTTAGCTAAAAATACATAGCAATTTTAAGTTTTAAACATTGTAATTCGTCCAATTTGTACATTTCAGCATCAATTAAAGCATACAAACATACTGAATCATACTGAATCAAAGGGTAAACAAACAAAATGGCATGTGTATAATTGGAAACGAAATCAAATGATTTATTTGAACAAACTGAGATGGTACCCTACACAGGCTGTGTGACTTGGAAAGAAAATTGTCTTTAAAAGTAAAGACATTGCACAATGAGTCTCCTTTTAGAGAAATGCAAAATTCACTGCTTGATTTCAACATCTTACACAGATGGTATGTGTAATAGCAGTACCCTACCACAGAAATGCCCAAAGGTTACAGTACAACTCCAGTTCTGGGTTATCTGACAATCGGCTCCAGGTACAGTATCTCCAAATACAGTATTTTTAGGAGGTACCATACAGTATAAATTCCCCACGCTGATCCAGTCAACTACACTGCTTAGAGATTCATCCAACAGGTAACTTTTATTGGCCTCTCCCATTCATCGTTTAAATGATTCTTGTCTCATTATAGCATTTTATTTGCTGTTTTTCAGGCACTTAGAGGACATTCCTTTACACACACAAAAAAAAATGTCAGAAAGCAAAGGTGGGTAAACATTTCTTAATTGTTTCACAGATAAAACGGAAACTCCTCACATGTTTAACCTTGCAAAGAACAGACACAAGTCAAAACAGTCATGTAGCAACTATCACATTTGTAATTCTACAGAGCTTGTGATCGCAAGTAGCCCTGACTTTATTCAGGAGCTTCTTCCATCTGCTCAGCGTACGGCTTTGCTCTACCATCTCTCTTACCTGTGTTTGGCTAAGTTCCCCAAGTTGGAGAGGGAACTCCGAGAGCGTGCTATTGAAACCCAGCTTCTCTTTGGGTCATCTGAAGCTCTTCTGCTGAAGGTAAAGCCACAGTTTTTCAGGCATTTCTGTTACTGTAACCCACGTCCAATACACTATTAAGATTGCACATTTCTGTGAAAATTCAAATGATCTATAAAGCAGCTCTCTGATGTGTTATTTTTGATAGATTGATTGGTTTCGACCACTGCCTGTGTTTTAAAATATGAAATGTTTGGATACATAATGTATGCATTTTTGCTGTCTTTCAGTGTGCTGCCACAAGTAAAAACCTGGTTTCCACACTGTTGCCTGCACTGAAGGCTGCTGTTGAAAAGAATAAAAGCATTTTGGCCATCAAGTCCCTGGAAAAAGCAAGAGCATGGATCACTGATATTGTTGAAAAAGTGGAACAGATGGTGGAGAGGTAAAATGTTTCGAAGTGTTGTTAAATTGTTAATTTTTTTTTCATAAGAAAGTGTAATAAAATGGTTAAATTTACCATATCTGGACCACTTTTAATATGGCAACTGGATGTGTTTCAGTGCATTATCAAGAACATTTGCTATGTTTAAGCCGATAATTAATCTGAAACCTGTCATCATCAGATATGACAAACACAACCAGAGTGTGGCTTCATGCACCAGTGATGTGATTAATGAAAAGGCTGAGACAGAAAAAAATTTAGCACAAGCTAATAAGGAGATAGATGCTCTGGAGAAGGCAGTGATTGATCTCAACCAGGAATTGTGGAAAAACAATCAGGAAATTGGACGAATTGACGGAAGGATTGCACAGAAAAACAATGAGCTGCAGAGTCATATCAGAGAGTCTTCTAACAAAAACAACGGTCTGTGTATCATGGCTATCCTGATACCATTTGTTGGACCCTTAATTAAATCCATTCATGATGCTCAAGCTGGCCAAGCTGTGGCTGCAAAAACCCAGGCTATCTCCAGTGAGTTGTCTCAACTTTCCAATGAGAAGTCCAACCTGAGAAACAAGGAGTGGAACATCCATGTCAGGTTGACTGATATGCAGCTGAAGTTGGCAAGCATGAAATTAGAAAAGGGTGAGATGCTTTCACAGCTGTGCTTGACAAATTCCCATATAAATGGTCAGAAGCCTCAGAGTGATCTCTCATAATTAATGTCTGCTTTATGTTGTTCAAATATGTTGTTCTAAAAGGTTCAATACCCGACCCTGTCCATCTGAATGATGTCCAAACCTGCCTCACCCGAATCCAACAGATTCTGATTCAGCTTAAGAAGTTCTGGGAAACAGTGAGTGTAATGCTGGAGGCTCTCAAAGACGAGACTTTTGCTAATGAGCACTTCATTGAGGAGTGTGAAATGAAAGAGATCTTTCTGCAATCTATCACTACAGCACAACGGGTAACTTACACACCGAGTAAATGTTAATTTAGAGGTTTACAGAAGTTCATTTCACCTTGATTGCATTTTCTGTTGTGATTCATTTTGTAACTCACATCTTTCAGCATTGGAAGGACTTCGGTGAGTCCTGTCTGAATGCCAAGGGCATCTTTAGCTTGCAGACGAAGGATGCGTATAAGTTCCTGGAGACCAGCCCATCTTCACTGTCACCAGAGGAATGGAAAAGACAGTATGACTCTGTCATTGTGCAGCTGAACAAAATATGTCCTGATCCCTGCACTCCCCAAGCGAAAGCTGCCATTGCTCAGTAACACACCAGCTTAAGAAGTCGTTACAGCACATCTATAATTTTTCAAGCTAACTGTTCTGAATAACATGTTTGTTAAATCTTATGCTGTTTTAATAATTCTTTAAGTGAGCCAAGTTGTTGGGGATTTTCATTTCTCTTATGCCATATCTCTGTTCCCTCTGTGATTAAATTGCTTTGGATTTCAAACCCATAAATAGTGTTTGTTTGTTCTGTTTTTCCAACTGCGTACTGTCATGCATTGTGGATCCAAATGTATTTCGGAATATAACACATGAGATCAAGGCCATAAACTAAAGCATGAGAAATACAAATGTTACACACAAATGTAAAAAAAAAAAAAAAATGAACAAAGAGGTTAAACTGGGCATCATACACTAAAAAGTAAATTTCACACACTAACAAACATTCAAACAAACAAACAAACGAATACAAGTTGTTCTAAACATATTCACAGTTCAGAAAAGAGTATATAAAATCGGGTTTATATTTAGGAAAATATAAAATCGGCTTAAAATATCAAACATCCTCCAACAGGATGGATCAATAGTCTGCTAAAAACGCCAGAAAAATTGGGAGTTCATGTCCATCACACCCTACATACGATTTTCTGTGAAATCTGGCAACTCCCACTGCACATTTTCTGCAGACTGGCTTTGATTTTCACAAACTCCTTCAAAGTGTAAATCAGGCCAAAATCTGGGCAAACGTTTTGTAGAGTATTCCAACCTTAAGACTCACAATAAATATAACATAACAAGGACCAGGCCAGAGCACAAACAAATGAAACGGGATAAATACACATGATATTTATGTCACGTATTACTGCTTAGCAGATAATTTATGCTACTGCCCAATGACATGGTTTTTAAGCTATCCAAATTTTGTCCTCCAAACATCTTGAAATGACCATTTCAGGGAAATCAGAGAAATAAAAATGTTAGACATTCTATCAAGCTCAGTTTTTGGAGTGCAGCATTTCTAAAGCCCTTTATACAAATACACAAATTCATATATATATATATATAATTCATATACAAATACAATATACTGATAACTACATAAAGCAGGTGGTATAAGTAGAAAGCCACACAATGAATCAAAGACTCTAAAAATACAAAGTGAATAGAAAGCAGCAAGGATGATATAAAGCATTTTTTAAATTAGATCTATTTATTTTTAAATGTAATGTACATTTATAAAGCTATATTATGTTTATGCATATTTTGTTATTAATCAGGACAGCACAACACACCACCTCCTCATGACTCAAAACAAAGAGAGCTCAACTGATATACCATAGAAGGTGGCAAACACTTTTTTTATAATGCATATTTCTCAATCAACAACATGGCCCAAATAGTAAATTATGTATTTCTAAAACACAGATGTTTGATCTATAAATCATTATGAATAACTGCATTGGCTTAATTTACAACATATATACAAAATGATGTGCTTGCTGCAGAATGACTGCTAAAGAATGGCTCTCGGTTCCTCCTGTTTCGTCTTAAAAGAACCTGCTTTAATACGAGTGTGAGAAACATAAAAATAAAATGAGTTTGATAGATATTTAAAAGAGGGATTTATATCTCACATCCACTCATTGGGTGAACAAAGAAGGTTGCATACTTGGCAAGGAAAAGGAATTTTACAGCAAAGACTTACATTAGCAGGTTGCTATATTTGAAACCTACAGTATATATAAAAATGACACAGAATATGTGAGTGCATTGGTTTACAGAATGAGAAAAAAAAGGCTTAAAGAAATAGTTCACCCAAAAATGAAACATTTTGGCCATCCAAAATGTAGATGAGTTTGTTTCTTCATCTGAGCAGATTTGGACAAATTTAGCATTGCATTACATGCTCACCAATGGATCCTCTGCAGTTAATGGGTGCCGTCACAATTCACTGAATTTGTTTCTTACAAACACACGGCTTTTTGCTTCACAAGATGTTAACTGATGGACTGGCATCATGTGGTTTACTTGTGTCAGCAACACACAAGGGGAACACTCAGGTATGTTGCAGATACAACAAGCTTTATTTTGCAGAGTGGCAGCAGATCAAATCGGCAAGAGCAGGTAAGTAACAACAGTTCAGAAGAGCGGGCAATGGAACTTAGCTGGGAGAATAACAAGAGTCCTTTCTTGATTTCCAGAGGGCTGAGGAGCAACAGGGATCACTGGAGCACAGGAGAATACTGAAGGGAACACAGGTAGGTACACGGAGTCAGGTAAAAGTACATCCACATCACCATCCACTCTGCCATGTTCCCAATTCGATTTGTGATTTTTTTTGTTTTGAATGCGTTTATGTAAACGGTTGGGGTTAGCCTAGACAATCCTGTTTTTCCTCTCTGTGTTTCATGGATCATGCACCTGTTTCCTAGTCTGAATTAATTCACTGGAATTAACCCTTGTGTGCTCCCCATTTGGGAGTCACACTCATGGTCTTCATGGTCAAAAGTAACCAGACACCTGAAATGTAAATTTTTTTTCTTCAGTAAAATCAATCTAATATATTTTTGTTTGTTTTATTTTTTCTTTTGTATTTTGAGATAATTGTATGGTACTAATTAATATTTATGCAATAATAAATATTTCCCAATAATGAAAATAGTACTTTTTTTCTCAGAATTTTTAAAAATTATTTTACAATTAATGCAGTATTTCAAATTAAAATAGAGACTAGGCCTTTAAAATCCAATTTTTGAAGGCAGAATAACACTTCCTGGTGAGAGAAAAAAACCTGTAATTTCATGGTGTAACCACTAGATTCCTGTATAGGAATCTATAGACAGGCTTGTGAATTCCCTAGTTGTTTTTAATACATAATTGTTTACTTTTATTAGGTTGTGGATTTAAATGTATATTAAGGCATTCTCAAAGACAACTTTTTGTCAAGGTTTATATTTTTTGTCGTTTTAAATGTTGATTTGAAGTGTAGGTTTTTGCATTATTATTACTACATCCAAACCTGAACACAGAAAACATTTTGTTACACTAAACATTAAAATTCTATAAAAATGTAACAAAAAATTAACAGGAATGCTTTATCAGAGCTTAATTATTCTAGGTCTGATCTGATTTTAACCTCTTACTTGAGTCTTCTGACTCATTTTGGCTATATGGTTATAGCCATACCAATTCATTTGAGTGTGTATAATTCTGTATGTGTGTCTGTGAGTGTGTGTAAGTAAGTGTGTGTGAGTGGATGTAGCTGTTTTACACTTCTGATGTTTTAGAGTGTAACCCCTTCCTTACTGTCCACTTTTTTACTGCATTGTAGTTGAATTATTGATTTTATTTTACATAGTTGCAGTGTTAGTCACACCAGTTCATAGGTGTGTGTGTGTGAGATTGTGTGTTAATTTTGCACTCTATAATGTTTTAGAGTTTCACCTCTTCATTGCTGTGCAATTTTTTTCTGCATCGTGGGGGATTTGTAGATTGTGCACACAGAAATTTTCTGTATTCCCCCCCCCCATTTCCCATTCATTTCCTATGGTCGATCATTTTTGACAGAAGACCAAAGTGAGTGTGACTATTTTTTTACGACCACTTAGCTTTTTCAAATCGTGCCCTTAATTATTTTTGTGTTCACATACCAAGTGCCATAAAAGTCACCAAAATTCAAAATGTAAAATTCTCCGGTCAGAAGTGACCGAAGACCGCACAAGTGTTAATCAGTTCACTGGAATTTTGGAGCTTTGTATATTTGTGACATTAAAATGTGCATGCATTTGGATCCACTCTCTTTGCTTTTTCCCTTTGCTAACCTCATGATAGTGAGCAAGTGATGTAATGCTAAATTTCTCCAAATCTGTTCCCAAGAAAAACAAACCAATCTACGTCATGGATGGCAAGGGTGAGTAAATGTTCAGCAAATTTTTTTTTTTTTTGGTGAATTATTCCTTTAAAGGCACAATAACTATCTGCTGCAACAGGATGGCATTCGTGGTAGTGTAACAATAAATGCCTTTAAGCACAAATATTGTTATTAGCTTGTTTCTTGGGAACCAATGACAATGAATCCACACACAGTAGTGCTATAGACATTTATAGTAACATGCAGTAGCAAAAGGACAAATCAATGCAGCAATAATCAATGCACAGTCATGACATGTAACAGTCCCTTTGAACAACATCAATCAGAACGATTGCACAGCCTTGTCAACAAGCGTATTGACTATTGCATAACTGAATCATTAGCACAACACATCCCCAACTGAAAATATTTAGGTGGGTTTCCAGATTGACAAAGAGATTGTCACATATACATGATGCACACAGCAGAATCAGGGTGGCACCATATTACATTTTTTGACAACATACCATTTGTTCATCTTCAAAAGACTTTCAGTAGACAAAATCTCCCTAAATCAGTTTTGAGAGTTGAGAAGATGACATGATCCTTTATTCAGTATGTGCCATTGCAACGACTAAGTCTATCCCTCACAGCCTCGTTTTCATCAGCGTTCAATTCAATATGGAGTCTAACCAGACTAAGGTCTATGGATGGGATTGGGGGGGCTTTTACCACTTGGCTCAGGTTGGGGGATGGGGGGTCCTCATCTGAAGGACGTAGCCCTGTCTGTACACCGGGGCACTGCCTTGAAAAACCTTTTTCTTTGCAGTGGATCTGACTGATGCTGCTTTAGGGCTGAAGACAAACAGCAGGTTCACTATGAGAGCTATTTATACCACTGATTGCTTTTTTCATTGGCAATAATAGAGACAGACCACATAATACACTGAAGCGAACTGAATTTGGGGGACACTGGAACTGTCATTGTGTGCGGTCACATATCAAATTATGAGAAGCAATGCAACTATATGTACACTTCATCTTCATATTCCTTCAGTGGAGACACTGCGATGACCAGGTCAATCCAGTCCTACGAGCACATGCATGGAGAAATGTCTAGCACATGCATGTGAACAAAAGAATGAAAGTCAGATCAATTTTAGCACATAATAAAAAGATGTGCAGTCACTG